CAATTGTTTAGGGACTTCAGATTTATAAAAATGAAGTTCTTGCCTCCTAACACCACTCCTCTCATCCAGCCCATGAACCAGCAGGTCATTTCTAACTTCACAAAACTCTACACAAAAGCAATGTTTCAAAGATGCTTTGAAGTGACCTCAGGCACTTAACTGACCCTAAGAGAGTTCTGGAGGATCACTTCAATATCTCCACTGAATAAGCCTTATAGGTAAGGTTTGGCAGGGAGTGACTTCCAGGACTTCGAACTCTGCTTGGAGAAAATTGTGGCCAAAATGTGTCCTCGACAAGGATTTTGAAGGGTTTGAGGCTGACCCTGGCAACCCTATGCCTGTTGTAGAATCTATCGTGTCTTTGGGAATGTCCATGGGGTTGGAGGTGAGTGGCCAGGATGTGGAAGAGTTGGTGAATGACCACAGGGAAGAGCTAATTACTGAAGAGCTGCAAGAACTTCAACTGGAACAGCAACAAACTGCAGCTGAGGAAATTGCTTCAGAGGAGGAGGAAGAGAGAGTGGGGAGAAGGTGCCTTCTTCAGTGATTAAGGACATTTGTGCAAAATGGAATGAGTTGCAAACTTTTGTGGAAAAAATATCACCCTGACCAAGCTGATACAAGCCGTATCTGCAACATGTTCAGTGACAATATCTTGTCCCATTTTAGGCAAATCTTAAAGAGACGCCAGAAACAGAGCTCTTTAGTGTGACAGGGGTTCAGTGCCAGTAAAAGACAAAGAAGGAAAGTAACCCCAGACAGGACTTTGATACCTGAAGTCCTTATGGAGGGGGATTCCCCTTCCAAACAATAAGTTCTCCTCTCTCTCCCCACCTTGCCTTCTTCCATACACCAACAAGAGCCTTCAATAAAGGTATGTAATAGTGATTTAAATGTTCATTTATCCATTTCAATAGTGCTTTATATTTATTTCTCATTGTTTTCTGTATGTAAAACTATAGTTACTCTTCAAAAATTGTATTTTTTTGTTAATATTTTTGGGTGTTCGAAACAGATTAATTGTATTTATATTATTTCTTAAGGGAAAAATTACTTCGGTTTTCGTACATTGTGGATTTAGACTAACCTTCTGGAACGGATTAAGTACGAAATTCAGAGTTCCACTATATACTTGGATATTATTTGTCTGATGACAGACAAACAAAATTCGGCATACAGTGGTTTGTTTCTGGACCTTATCTTATACATATTACAATAAGGCCCCGCTTTACGGCATTTCGCTTTATGGCATTCTGCTAATAAGGACATTTCAAATTATGACCAAAACTTGCTATACGGCTCCCCCCACCTGACTTTCTAATACAGTCACTGCGCCCCTCCCGGTTTGTTTACATTCTCTGTTTACATTCTCTCCATTATGTCTGGAAACTTTCCAAAGTTGCTTCATATTTTATATATACTCAGATAATTATACAAATACTTACCTGTGCCTAAAGATACCTACACACTGTGCTGGTATGCAGGTACACATTAAAATCAGTAAGAGTGTCTTATATCTCGAGATGCCATATTAGTAATACAGTGGACCCCCGGTTAACGATATTTTTTCACTCCAGAAGTATGTTCAGGTGCCAGTACTGACCGAATTTGTTCCCATAAGAAATATTGTGAAGTAGATTAGTCCATTTCAGACCCCCAAACATACACGTACAAATGCACTTACATAAATACACTTACATAACTGGTCGCATTCGGAGGTAATCGTTATGCGGGGGTCCACTGTAATAATAATAATAATAATAATAATAATAATAATAATAATAATACACTTAGGTCACACTACACATACATGTACAAGCATATATATATACACACACACACACCTCTGGGTTTTCTGCTATTTTCTTTCTAGTTCTTGTTTATTTCCTCTTACCTCCATGGGGAAGTGGAACAGAATTCTTCCTCCGTAAGCCATGCGTGTTGTACGAGGCGACTAAAATGCCGGAAGCAAGGGGCTAGTAACCCCTTCTCCTGTATAAATTACTAAATTTAAAAAAGAGAAACTTTGGTTTTTCTTTTTGGGCCACCCTGCCTCGGTGGGATACGGCCAGTTTGTTGAAAGAAAGAAGGAAGATGTGTATTTTACTTTTTTATTGTTTTTTAATGCCTAGTTCTATTGCTAACTTAATATATATTAGTGTAAACTTGTTATCTCATATTTATATGCATTTTAAGTGGAAAAATAGGGCATTCCACTTAACGGCGATTTCTGCTTTATGGCCTGGAACCTAACCTGCCATATAAGTGGGGCCCTACTGTATAAACATTGAGTGTGGAAATATCCACAATATGAAAAAAGAGTTTTCCTGTACCATTTATGTGCTCCTCCCTTAAGTGACGTGACTGACCTGACTAGGTCAAAGCATTGGCTTAAGCCGATGGGAGAATTGGACCTGCCAAGCATAGGCCAGTAGGCCTGCTGCAGTGTTCCTTATGTTCTTATAACTTACGAACGCAATCAGCAAACCCAATCTGCATGTCGCATTTATGCACTAAATGCATATTGAGGGTGTAGTCAATCACAATGGGGTCATTGGCCTCTCTTTTCTGCCTGCCACTGTCTGCCATTTCGTTTTGGTGAAATGATGTTAACAATGTGATATCTCATTTGTCATGCCACTGTAATGCCATGATGTCATTTGCAGCAAACACCTGCACCTCACCACTACAAGTGCCTGCATTGAACCTGGGAATATACTTATGATTTGCATGCACTGTACCACATGTCTGCAGTGGTCACTCTCTAGAAATCACTGAGTAAGGGGCTTAGTGTACCAATTATCAGTATATAATGTATGCCCTTTACCAAGATGTCGTTCCATCATGGTTCTAACCATATCACCTGAAATACCCAATAACTTCCTGGCATTTTCCAATGTTTTACTTCCTATGTACAAAATTATATCCAATACTAGATCAATGTCACAGTCACAAAGCATAAGCAACTTGATACCAAAGCATTTCCTCTTGCTTGGTACATATTGCTTGAACAACAGTCTATGAACAAAATCAAAGGCTCATCAATAACAAGGTTCCTGAAGAGATAAAAATATCTGTCAGGCCAAGTTTTGTCTGAGAAGTGTAGCATACATAACATAGGATAAATAGGTTCACTGGCATATCACTGAAGGCAGGGGTTGAAATTAGATGGTCTGTCAATCAGTATGACTTGATACTGTGCTTATACACGTGTGGCATTAGCATTATTGTGGCAAAAAACAAATACACCTCAGCTACAGTTGTCTCCTTCCACTGGCGTAGTTGTGATTGTGGTGAGGCAAGTGTGTTTGTCATGGTATAATCGAAGTATCTGTTACTTTCCCTGACAATAATTTTCATTAGGGTTTGATCAAAAAATAATTCATAACATTCCATTTCATTGGCACTGTTCCCAAGGGTACAAGATGGATGGATTCCACTTTTGAGTTTCATTAAACACATGGGGATTGGAAGCAAAATTGGCACCCTCCTGCTTTTCCCAAATGCAGTCTGCTGGTGGATACTGGATATTGATAGATGGTTGTGGTTGTGCAGGTTGTTGTGGTATTTGGGTGGTTGACACTGGCCTTGGTTGCGGATGTCCTGAGTCAGTGAGGGTCCCAGCCTGGGGTACTGCTGGTGCCACAACCCATGTGGCACCACCACTACATACTGCCCTATGCAGTCAATTATTCATCCTAATTGTAGCCACATCACCATCACTTTCACTGTTTATTCCTGGCGTAGGGCCATGGGACGTACTCTGGAATGTACTCCATCCCCTTGGAATAGCATATGGCACACTACCAGAATGCATGCGGCATCACATAAATCAGCTCTTTACTGGTGAATGTTCCTCTTCACTGTCACTACTTAAATAGTCATTGTGAGCTAGGAATCCAGAGTCAATATCACTATCATCACCACTGCTCACATCTGAGCCCTGGCCACAGGAAAATATGAGTTTACTCTTACGCCACTGTACAACTGAATGTGATCTAGATGAACCAGCCCCATGTCCCCCATGTTAGAACTGTCAAATGGGAAGAGGAGATTCCCAATTCAGTGAGGAGTGAGGTTTTTTCTTACTGCAAGGCATGGTGAACGAAGTGTCCTGATATGGCGTTCCCACAAAGCAATCAAGGCGCCCTGATTTTTTATATACAGTCTCTCCTCACTTAACGACGTACTCATTTACCAATGACTCACTTACCTAAATAATGTATATTAGAGCAGATTTCCTCTATTCTGTTTACTTCAATATACAGTACACTACTGTATAAACATTTAAAAATATACCAGAAATGTTATAAATGGTGCAAAGGTGATATTAAAACAATATCAAAGATGGCTGACAAAAGTCCACTATGACTAAATTATGCTCCTCACTTAGCGACGAATTTATCTATCGACGAGGTCTCAGAAACGGAACTCTGTCGTTAAGTGAGGTAAGGCTGTACTGCACACACTGACCACGCAGGTCCATTCTCTCTATTTCTGTAATATATCTTCCATTCAATCAAATGAGACCAACAAACCCTGAATACAACCATAAAAACCACATGAAAATACACTGCAAAGTTGCTGTTTTAAACCAAGAACACATTGCAGTTTTTTTCATTATGCACTGCATACTACAAGACTTTTTATATGGTGCATAATTACCACATAAACCCATTCTTTCATAGATTTTTATATGGTGCATAATTACCACATAAACCCATTCTTTCACAGATTTTTATATGATGCATAATTACCACATAAACCCATTCTTTCATATCTAGGCCCAAATTTACTGCTCACAGCTTATCTGAGTGAGCTGAGCTCATGGAGTAGCACTACAGCACTGACTCTGACTTCAAAGCCATAGAACTACGGTACTGACCCTCAAGGGGTTAAGGGCATCTGTATATGCATAGCAGTATAATGATAGCAAATATACACATCAATAAACCTACTGAACTGTGCAAAATGCAACTAAACCAATTTATATAACCTACCAGTTGCTCGGTAGATCAACGCCCTCAAGCATTCAACTTCTGTCTCAAGTTCAGCAAGGCGGAAGTGAATGCACTGGTTATTGAGCAGTGGCTGGCCAAATGCTTTACGTTCCCTTGTGTATTCAATGGTGCTCTGTATACAAGTTTGCATTGGTGAAAGAGTCATCACAGCTCCAGCCAGACGCTCCTCTTGGAACTTTGAAGAAAATAAACATATTTGACATTCTTTAGACAACAAATTAAAAAAAAAATCAAATTTTTCTTTTGTGCAGTACAGTAGGACCCCCATATCCGGTATCCACTGATTCAATTATCCACAGTTTCCCTCAGCCACCCCAAAAATTGAAGAAGTTGCAATATGAGGATTCATTTTTTCATATATTTTCCAATTTTATTTATTTTTCATTCTTTGAATAAGAGTGCATAAAACATGATCATATAAAGTTTCAATAAGATTTGCAGAAAACAAGCACATACTGGCACTGCCAGAAGTCGTCGTCGTCGTGGTGGTGGTGGCGGTGGCGGTGGGAGGTGGCGGTGGGAGGTGGCGGTGGGAGGTGGCGGTGGGAGGTGGCTGGAGGTGAAAGGGGTGGGTGGAGGCAATGGGAGGTGGCGGTGGGAGGTGGCAATGGGAGGTGGCAATGGGAGGTGGCAATGGGAGGTGGCGGTGGGAGGTGGCGGTGGGAGGTGGCGGTGGGAGGTGGCGGTGGGAGGTGGCGGTGGGAGGTGGCGGAGGGAGGTGGCAGTGGGAGGTGGCGGTGGAGGTGGCGGTGGAGGTGGCGGTGGGAGGTGGCGGTGGGTGGTGGCTGTGGGTCATGGTGGTATGGTATGTTGCCAAGTGGGAGGAGGTTATCACAGACAAAGGAGAGCCTAGGCACCTTAGTGCTTGAGACAGTTCATACATGTCTGATACGGATACTCTATACATACATCCAGTACCACCCCAGCCATCCCCCCCTTCCCATGGCCAAACCCTCGCTGTACACCCAGCAACAACCCCCCCTGCCCACAACCCGCCCATACTACCTGCCCTTATAAATCTCGAATAACAAAGAAAGGCACAATACCGTGACTGGAACGATACACAAATAACCCGCACAAAGAAGAGAGGAGCTTACGACGACGTTTCAGTCCGACTTGGACCATTTACCTCCCCACTACTACTTCCTTCCACCTCCACTACTACTACTACTACTACTACTTACATATACTACTGCTTATATATACCCATCCTGCTCTCCGTTTCGTTAGTGTGACTTTGTAAATGGTCCAAGTCAGACCGAAACGTTGTCGTAAGCTCCTCTCTTCTATGTGCGGGTTATTTGTGTACCTATAAATCCCCCCACGGCCACATGCCTTCGCCCATACCATGCTTCTAACTCAATCCTGCCTCTCCCACCCATACCTCCCCGCCTATATAATTCCCCCACGGCCACACACCTTCACACACACACCATTCCAACCAGCAACCTCCACCCACACAACTCCCCCACAGCCACAAGCCTTTACCCACACAATCTGCCCATGCAGTTCCCTCCTCCCTATGGCCACACTCTCACAACCACCATTCCCTCAAGGCCATATATCCCTATGACCTCACCCATAAACTTTACCAGACCTTTCACCCTAACATGCTGTCCACATACCTAATCACTTAGTTACCCACCACGCTCATTACCACCAGCTGCATAATCGCTACTAAGTCACCCATCATCCAATCACCACCCACACCAGGCCACTGACAAGCACACCTTTCACCCACATCACTTCCCCAGAGCTTCAAGCCCACACAGCCCCACACCTTACCATGCTTTCACTCACCATTTCCCCATAGCTTCTAGCCCCCACAGTCCCACTCCCACACCTTAGAAACCCATGTTTTCATGGCCCACATACCCAAACATGTCACCTACACTCCTAGTCCTGTACACTAGCCACCCTAATTACTGCCCACACCAGCTGTGCACACACATACCTGCTCAGTCACCCATCATCCACACTACTATCCACACTGGACCTCCAACACTGCCACCCACATGGTCACCATCGCACCACCTTGTTGTTTCCAGCCTCCATCTCTACACCCCTCCAAAACTCAACATCATGGTAAGTAAACAAAAAATGACTTGTATATAGTGTTCAATACTATCCTTGGTTTTCAGTATCTGTGGTAGGGCTTGGAACGTATCACCATTGATACGGGGGTTCTACTGTATTTTGTTTCCTAATGAAATATTTAAATTATTATGCAAAATTTATTAGAAAACTGTGTTTAATCATCAGCATTAAAGTTACCCAAAATATAAATAGTTTTCAATGGTATGATGTGAAAAAAATGTTAGAGTAAGCAAATGCCACTGGTAAGCTTTTTGAAAAATAGTGTATGTATTTGCTTTTAATGATTTCTTTACAAATAGAATGGGAAATACTAAAGTAATATATGATATTATTTAACTTGCCATTTTAAATTAAATGCAGTGGAATTATTCTGACTTTTGAGCAAAATGATCATTAACTTTGCTTTAAACTTCTGTCTTGTTCTGAAGATTTCGCAATAAATCTTTCTCAAATAACAAAAGGGCAAAGCTTCACAATTTTTCTTGATCTTGAGAATTCCTGGAGAAAGTTTTAATTCATTTCAAAACAGAGCCTAAACTCTTCATTAACAATCATTGCTGGAACCATTAAAATTAATTCACATAGGCCAGATATGGTACTTCACCATAAGCATTTTTTGAAGTCAATCAGCTTTATAACATTCTGAATTTTATTTAGTTTTTTATTTTGTTTCTGCCATGTAAACAACTTTAAGCTGTGATTTTGGTGACAAAAATTCTAAGAAATTGTTTGTTACACTTCAGTCACTGAAAAACAAATGTTTACTACATTTTGTTCAGGACTGGACTTCTGACTTATGAGGCAAATAAACACCCTGAGGTCAGGCTCACAAGAGGTCAATTGAGAAGTAACAAATGAGGTATGCATTAAAAGCAACATATTTGTGCATTTTGGACAAAACACTGCAATAGACATTTCTCAGCAAGCATGTTGTCACTCTCACTACCTGTTGACTCTGGAAATTCTTTTTAAAACCACATAATAACAGGAATGGAAAAACAAAAATAATCTTAATGAATCCAAACTTGTGAATCTGTTATTAACTGGGTAACAGTGAGGGAAGAAGCAACTGGGAAGGCACTCTGCTTTCCCCTGCCCAAATGTCTAGCAAACATATATCTTTCCAGAGTTGACTACTAATATTTTTAGAGAGAGAATTTCTGCATCAGAATGATTTTCACAGCATATGAGCTTGATCTAAATTATTTCTTTTGCATGGATTTCGGAAAACTGATGAATATTTTAACCCTTTGACTGTTTTGGTCGTATATATACGTCTTACGAGGTACCGTGTTTCATGTATATATACTCATAAATTCTAGCGGCTTCAAATCAAGCAGGAGAAAGCTGGTAGGCCCACATGTGAGAGAATGGGTCTGTGTGGTCAGTGTGCACCATGTAAAAAAAAATCCTGGAGCACACAGTGCATAATGAGAAAAAAAACACTCCAACCTTTTTTCTTCAATTAAAACATCGACTTTGTGGTCTATTTTCGTATAGTATTTATGGTTGTATTCTCATTTTCTTGGTCCCATTTGATAGAATGGAAGACATATTACAGAAATGGAGGTGATTTTGATTGGTTTTACTTTAAAAAGAACCTGGAAATGGAGCTCAAAGTAGGGGAAATGTTTGATTTTTGCCAATGTTCAAAAGTAAACAAATGATGCCATTTTCCAATAAATGTCCAACTAGCCATTCTAATATGCAGTCATGAATGGGTTGACATTATTTGTATAATTATTACAGTATTGCAGTAGTCTGCATAACAGTAAATCTTCTATTTTTTTGTTTGAATAAAAATTCAAAATAGAAAGCAAGAGCAATATCAGAGGGGCCTGGAGACGTGACTGATGAACAAAGAAAATGTTATTTTAGAGCCAGGAATGTCTGCATTGTTCATTCTGGAGCTTATTTTGAAATTGTCATATTTTTTAATTTTCGTGAAATTGGCCAAATTGCAAATTTCTGACCATGTTATTGGGTAGTTGAAATCAGTAAATGGGCAGTTTCTTGCACTCAATCGATAGAAAAAACGGAGTTCTAAAGAAATAGCTATGAGTTTAGTCAACTAGAACAATAGAATTAGCCGAGAATAGGGCTCAAAGTGGGCGAAATCGCCGATTTGTAAATACCGCCGAGGTCGCTAACTTCACGAGAGCGTAATTCCGTCAGTTTTCCATCAAATTTCGTTTTTTTTTTGGTGTCATTACAATTGGGAAAAGATTCTTTATTATTTCATAAGAAAAGAATATTATTATTTTTTCTTTTAAATTTTGCGACACCAGAAGATACCTCAGGATTGGGAGTTGCGACAGTCAAGGGGTTAACACTCCAGCCATCTTCCGCCAAGGCAGGGTCACCCAAAAAAAACATTCACTAAACTGCCATCTTTCCAGAAGTGTGCTAACATCACAATTAGAGTATCTGTTAACTGCAACATCCCCATCCCTCTTTCAAAGTGCAGGCACTGGCCTTCCAACTTTCATAAGTCAAGACTGGCTAACTAGTTACCCTCGAGTCCTTTCATTAATGTTACCATGCTCACACTCCAACATCCCATCTATTAACCCCTTGAGGGTCCAAACCCTCAATCTGAAAATTCCCCACAGGATCCAAGAATTTAACCCTTTGACTGTCACAACCCCCAATCCTGAGGTCTCTCCTGGTGCCGCAAAATTTAAAAAAAAAAAAAAAAAAAAAAATTCTTATTAAATGATAGAGAATCTTTTCCTGGTTGTAATGACACCAAAAAAACGAAATTTGATGGAAAACTAACAGAATTACGCTCTCGCGAAGTTAGCGGCCTCGGCGATATTTACAAATCTGTGATTTCGCCCAGTTTGAGCCCTATTCTCGGCTAATTCCATTGTTCCAGTCGACTAAACTCATAGCTATTTCTTTAGAACTCCATTTTTTCTATCGATTGAATACAAGAAACTGCCCATTTACCGATTTCAACTGCCCAATAACGTGGTCAGAAATTTGCAATTTGGCCAATTTCACGAAAATTTAAAAATATGACAATTTCAAAATAAGGTCCAGAATGAACAATGCAGACATTCCTGGCTCTAAAAT